ACTCTATCTCAGTACCAAATTTCATTAAAATCAGTTCAGTGGTTTAGGCGTGAAAGAGTAACAGACAGACAGACAGACAGACAGACAGACAGACAGACAGACAGAGTTACTTTCGCATTTATAATATTAGTAGGGATAACGAAACTGTTACCAAGAAGACAACTTGTCATTACTTCTCCTGGTGCGTCGACTGCAGGTAGCATGTCGGCGTGGAGTACATGGCGTACATTTGATGTTTGAAGCCTTCTTCATTGACAAAACTGAAAAATATAATTAATATATATATAATAACATATATTTATGTTTATTAATATAAACTCCAAATATTGTAATGTGTGGTTCATTTTAAATTGTATAACATATAACGAAACTCTTACCAAGAAGACAACTTGTCATTACTTCTCCTGGTGCGTCGTCTGCAGGTAGCATGTCGGCGTGGAGTACATGGCGTACATTTGATGTTTGAAGCCTTCTTCATTGACTAAACTGAAAAATACAATTACATATATTTATTTATATTAATATAAACTCCAAATATTGTAATGTGTGGTTCATTTTAAATTGTATAACATATAACGAAACTCTTACCAAGAAGACAACTTGTCATTACTTCTCCTGGTGCGTCGTCTGCAGGTAGCATGTCGGCGTGGAGTACATTTGATGTTTGAAGCCTTCTTCATTGACTAAACTGAAAAATATAATTAATATATATATAATAACATATATTTATGTATATTAATATAAACTCCAAATATTGTAATGTGTGGTTCATTTTAAATTGTATAACATATAACGAAACTGTTACCAAGAAGACAACTTGTCATTACTTCTCCTGGTGCGTCGTCTGCAGGTAGCATGTCGGCGTGGAGTACATGGCGTACATTTGATGTTTGAAGCCTTCTTCATTGACAAAACTGAAAAATACAATTACATATATTTATGTATATTAATATAAACTCCAAATATTGTAATGTGTGGTTCATTTTAAATTGTATAACATATAACGAAACTCTTACCAAGAAGACAACTTGTCATTACTTCTCCTGGTGCGTCGTCTGCAGGTAGCATGTCGGCGTGGAGTACATGGCGTACATTTGATGTTTGAAGCCTTCTTCATTGACTAAACTGAAAAATATAATTAATATATATATAATTACATATATTTATGTATATTAATATAAACTCCAAATATTGTAATGTGTGGTTCATTTTAAATTGTATAACATATAACGAAACTGTTACCAAGAAGACAACTTGTCATTACTTCTCCTGGTGCGTCGTCTGCAGGTAGCATGTCGGCGTGGAGTACATTTGATGTTTGAAGCCTTCTTCATTGACTAAACTGAAAAATATAATTAATATATATATAATAACATATATTTATGTATATTAATATAAACTCCAAATATTGTAATGTGTGGTTCATTTTAAATTGTATAACATATAACGAAACTGTTACCAAGAAGACAACTTGTCATTACTTCTCCTGGTGCGTCGTCTGCAGGTAGCATGTCGGCGTGGAGTACATGGCGTACATTTGATGTTTGAAGCCTTCTTCATTGACAAAACTGAAAAATATAATTACATATATTTATATATATTAATATAAACTCCAAATATTGTAATGTGTGGTTCATTTTAAATTGTATAACATATAACGAAACTGTTACCAAGAAGACAACTTGTCATTACTTCTCCTGGTGCGTCGTCTGCAGGTAGCATGTCGGCGTGGAGTACATGGCGTACAGTTGATGTTTGAAGCCTTCTTCATTGACAAAACTGAAAAATATTATTAATATATATATAATAACATATATTTATGTATATTAATATAAACTCCAAATATTGTAATGTGTGGTTCATTTTAAATTGTATAACATATAACGAAACTGTTACCAAGAAGACAACTTGTCATTACTTCTCCTGGTGCGTCGTCTGCAGGTAGCATGTCGGCGTGGAGTACATGGCGTACATTTGATGTTTGAAGCCTTCTTCATTGACTAAACTGAAAAATATAATTAATATATATATAATAACATATATTTATGTATATTAATATAAACTCCAAATATTGTAATGTGTGGTTCATTTTAAATTGTATAACATATAACGAAACTGTTACCAAGAAGACAACTTGTCATTACTTCTCCTGGTGCGTCGTCTGCAGGTAGCATGTCGGCGTGGAGTACATGGCGTACATTTGATGTTTGAAGCCTTCTTCATTGACTAAACTGAAAAATATAATTAATATATATATAATAACATATATTTATGTATATTAATATAAACTCCAAATATTGTAATGTGTGGTTCATTTTAAATTGTATAACATATAACGAAACTGTTACCAAGAAGACAACTTGTCATTACTTCTCCTGTTGCGTCGTCTGCAGGTAGCATGTCGGCGTGGAGTACATGGCGTACATTTGATGTTTGAAGCCTTCTTCATTGACAAAACTGAAAAATATAATTACATATATTTATGTATATTAATATAAACTCCAAATATTGTAATGTGTGGTTCATTTTAAATTGTATAACATATAACGAAACTCTTACCAAGAAGACAACTTGTCATTACTTCTCCTGGTGCGTCGTCTGCAGGTAGCATGTCGGCGTGGAGTACATGGCGTACATTTGATGTTTGAAGCCTTCTTCATTGACAAAACTGAAAAATATAATTACATATATTTATGTATATTAATATAAACTCCAAATATTGTAATGTGTGGTTCATTTTAAATTGTATAACATATAACGAAACTCTTACCAAGAAGACAACTTGTCATTACTTCTCCTGGTGCGTCGTCTGCAGGTAGCATGTCGGCGTGGAGTACATGGCGTACATTTGATGTTTGAAGCCTTCTTCATTGACAAAACTGAAAAATATAATTAATATATATATAATAACATATATTTATGTATATTAATATGAACTCCAAATCTTGTAATGTGTGGTTCATTTTAAATTGTATAACATATAACGAAACTGTTACCAAGAAGACAACTTGTCATTACTTCTCCTGGTGCGTCGTCTGCAGGTAGCATGTCGGCGTGGAGTACATGGCGTACATTTGATGTTTGAAGCCTTCTTCATTGACAAAACTGAAAAATATAATTACATATATTTATGTATATTAATTAGACTCCAAATATTGTAATGTGTGGTTCATTTTAAATTGTATAACATATAACGAAACTGTTACCAAGAAGACAACTTGTCATTACTTCTCCTGCTGCGTCGTCTGCAGGTAGCATGTCGGCGTGGAGTACATGGCGTACATTTGATGTTTGAAGCCTTCTTCATTGACTTAACTGAAAAATATAATTAATATATATATAATAACATATATTTATGTATATTAATATAAACTCCAAATATTGTAATGTGTGGTTCATTTTAAATTGTATAACATATAACGAAACTGTTACCAAGAAGACAACTTGTCATTACTTCTCCTGGTGCGTCGTCTGCAGGTAGCATGTCGGCGTGGAGTACATGGCGTACATTTGATGTTTGAAGCCTTCTTCATTGACAAAACTGAAAAATATAATTACATATATTTATGTATATTAATTAGACTCCAAATATTGTAATGTGTGGTTCATTTTAAATTGTATAACATATAACGAAACTGTTACCAAGAAGACAACTTGTCATTACTTCTCCTGCTGCGTCGTCTGCAGGTAGCATGTCGGCGTGGAGTACATGGCGTACATTTGATGTTTGAAGCCTTCTTCATTGACTAAACTGAAAAATATAATTAATATATATATAATAACATATATTTATGTATATTAATATAAACTCCAAATATTGTAATGTGTGGTTCATTTTAAATTGTATAACATATAACGAAACTGTTACCAAGAAGACAACTTGTCATTACTTCTCCTGCTGCGTCGTCTGCAGGTAGCATGTCGGCGTGGAGTACATGGCGTACATTTGATGTTTGAAGCCTTCTTCATTGACTAAACTGAAAAATATAATTAATATATATATAATAACATATATTTATGTATATTAATATAAACTCCAAATATTGTAATGTGTGGTTCATTTTAAATTGTATAACATATAACGAAACTGTTACCAAGAAGACAACTTGTCATTACTTCTCCTGGTGCGTCGTCTGCAGGTAGCATGTCGGCGTGGAGTACATGGCGTACATTTGATGTTTGAAGCCTTCTTCATTGACAAAACTGAAAAATATAATTAATATATATATAATAACATATATTTATGTATATTAATATAAACTCCAAATATTGTAATGTGTGGTTCATTTTAAATTGTATAACATATAACGAAACTGTTACCAAGAAGACAACTTGTCATTACTTCTCCTGGTGCGTCGTCTGCAGGTAGCATGTCGGCGTGGAGTACATGGCGTACATTTGATGTTTGAAGCCTTCTTCATTGACAAAACTGAAAAATATAATTAATATATATATAATAACATATATTTATGTATATTAATATAAACTCCAAATATTGTAATGTGTGGTTCATTTTAAATTGTATAACATATAACGAAACTGTTACCAAGAAGACAACTTGTCATTACTTCTCCTGGTGCGTCGTCTGCAGGTAGCATGTCGGCGTGGAGTACATGGCGTACATTTGATGTTTGAAGCCTTCTTCATTGACAAAACTGAAAAATATAATTACATATATTTATGTATATTAATTAGACTCCAAATATTGTAATGTGTGGTTCATTTTAAATTGTATAACATATAACGAAACTGTTACCAAGAAGACAACTTGTCATTACTTCTCCTGCTGCGTCGTCTGCAGGTAGCATGTCGGCGTGGAGTACATGGCGTACATTTGATGTTTGAAGCCTTCTTCATTGACTAAACTGAAAAATATAATTAATATATATATAATAACATATATTTATGTATATTAATATAAACTCCAAATATTGTAATGTGTGGTTCATTTTAAATTGTATAACATATAACGAAACTGTTACCAAGAAGACAACTTGTCATTACTTCTCCTGGTGCGTCGTCTGCAGGTAGCATGTCGGCGTGGAGTACATGGCGTACATTTGATGTTTGAAGCCTTCTTCATTGACAAAACTGAAAAATACAATTACATATATTTATGTATATTAATATAAACTCCAAATATTGTAATGTGTGGTTCATTTTAAATTGTATAACATATAACGAAACTCTTACCAAGAAGACAACTTGTCATTACTTCTCCTGGTGCGTCGTCTGCAGGTAGCATGTCGGCGTGGAGTACATGGCGTACATTTGATGTTTGAAGCCTTCTTCATTGACTAAACTGAAAAATATAATTAATATATATATAATTACATATATTTATGTATATTAATATAAACTCCAAATATTGTAATGTGTGGTTCATTTTAAATTGTATAACATATAACGAAACTGTTACCAAGAAGACAACTTGTCATTACTTCTCCTGGTGCGTCGTCTGCAGGTAGCATGTCGGCGTGGAGTACATTTGATGTTTGAAGCCTTCTTCATTGACTAAACTGAAAAATATAATTAATATATATATAATAACATATATTTATGTATATTAATATAAACTCCAAATATTGTAATGTGTGGTTCATTTTAAATTGTATAACATATAACGAAACTGTTACCAAGAAGACAACTTGTCATTACTTCTCCTGGTGCGTCGTCTGCAGGTAGCATGTCGGCGTGGAGTACATGGCGTACATTTGATGTTTGAAGCCTTCTTCATTGACAAAACTGAAAAATATAATTACATATATTTATATATATTAATATAAACTCCAAATATTGTAATGTGTGGTTCATTTTAAATTGTATAACATATAACGAAACTGTTACCAAGAAGACAACTTGTCATTACTTCTCCTGGTGCGTCGTCTGCAGGTAGCATGTCGGCGTGGAGTACATGGCGTACATTTGATGTTTGAAGCCTTCTTCATTGACAAAACTGAAAAATATTATTAATATATATATAATAACATATATTTATGTATATTAATATAAACTCCAAATATTGTAATGTGTGGTTCATTTTAAATTGTATAACATATAACGAAACTGTTACCAAGAAGACAACTTGTCATTACTTCTCCTGGTGCGTCGTCTGCAGGTAGCATGTCGGCGTGGAGTACATGGCGTACATTTGATGTTTGAAGCCTTCTTCATTGACTAAACTGAAAAATATAATTAATATATATATAATAACATATATTTATGTATATTAATATAAACTCCAAATATTGTAATGTGTGGTTCATTTTAAATTGTATAACATATAACGAAACTGTTACCAAGAAGACAACTTGTCATTACTTCTCCTGGTGCGTCGTCTGCAGGTAGCATGTCGGCGTGGAGTACATGGCGTACATTTGATGTTTGAAGCCTTCTTCATTGACAAAACTGAAAAATATAATTACATATATTTATGTATATTAATATAAACTCCAAATATTGTAATGTGTGGTTCATTTTAAATTGTATAACATATAACGAAACTGTTACCAAGAAGAGAACTTGTCATTACTTCTCCTGGTGCGTCGTCTGCAGGTAGCATGTCGGCGTGGAGTACATGGCGTACATTTGATGTTTGAAGCCTTCTTCATTGACAAAACTGAAAAATATAATTAATATATATATAATAACATATATTTATGTATATTAATATAAACTCCAAATATTGTAATGTGTGGTTCATTTTAAATTGTATAACATATAACGAAACTGTTACCAAGAAGACAACTTGTCATTACTTCTCCTGGTGCATCGTCTGCAGGTAGCATGTCGGCGTGGAGTACATGGCGTACATTTGATGTTTGAAGCCTTCTTCATTGACAAAACTGAAAAATATAATTACATATATTTATGTATATTAATATAAACTCCAAATATTGTAATGTGTGGTTCATTTTAAATTGTATAACATATAACGAAACTGTTACCAAGAAGAGAACTTGTCATTACTTCTCCTGGTGCGTCGTCTGCAGGTAGCATGTCGGCGTGGAGTACATGGCGTACATTTGATGTTTGAAGCCTTCTTCATTGACAAAACTGAAAAATATAATTAATATATATATAATAACATATATTTATGTATATTAATATAAACTCCAAATATTGTAATGTGTGGTTCATTTTAAATTGTATAACATATAACGAAACTGTTACCAAGAAGACAACTTGTCATTACTTCTCCTGGTGCATCGTCTGCAGGTAGCATGTCGGCGTGGAGTACATGGCGTACATTTGATGTTTGAAGCCTTCTTCATTGACAAAACTGAAAAATATAATTACATATATTTATGTATATTAATATAAACTCCAAATATTGTAATGTGTGGTTCATTTTAAATTGTATAACATATAACGAAACTCTTACCAAGAAGAGAACTTGTCATTACTTCTCCTGGTGCGTCGTCGTTCATAGACGAGACGAAACTACTAAGCATTCCATGGATTCACCGTGCGGGTGCCGGATCCATCGCGTTGCAGGGAGAGGAGCTTCAACAGTGCCTGGGACTTGCGACCCAAGTTTAGGTTTAAGGGGCCCCTTAACTAACGCGCGTTATACGCTCACCTCCACTGTCCAAGCTCCTCTCCCTACCTAACCAAATTTGAAAAGAACCTACTAGGGCTGCCTTCGATATACGATCCAAGAATGCATTAATGTGAGTTCTGGACAAGCCCAAGCCCTTTAGTAGGTTGTAGAGAGATTTCGCTGTTATACCTCTCGCTCCCACCTCTACCGCGTACAAATCTACTACGAACCTATTTGGAGTGAGTTCGTTTGTGAGCTCGTAATATTTGTTGACCTTGATGGTATGGTCTTTGGGGATGTTGGTTTCCCAAGGGACCGTAAGCTCTATCATCACTACGCGCTTTAAAATTCGCGAAAACAAAAATATATCCGGTCTGGAGGCCGACGCACAAATATCCTCGGAGATTTTATATTGTTTTTCATACGTGTCCATCATTATAGTCCAATCCGACGCCGCTTTAAGGATGGAGTAAGGCTTGACGTTTGATTTTGTAGCCCTAGAGCCTTCTCTCACAAAACCTACTGATCGTTCGTTTGTGGTTATTCCCTTTTGCGCTCTGGCTACCGAAAGACTAACCGCTTCACGTATGACTTCTAGAACCCTATCGTGACGACGCGAGTATTGACCGCTGTCAAGGAGTACCTTACATCCCACCAGCAGATGCTCAGCAGTTCCAACTGCCTTTCCACAGATATAGCAAGTTTTTTCGGTACTTTTACCCCATCTTACTAAATTACTCTGATCTGGGAGAGTCATCTGGAACGCATTGAGATAGAATTTTAGCAATGCTGGCGACCAATCATAAATTAAAGTGCGCCATTTTAATGCTAATGGGATGCAAAAATCTCCTATGTCTAACCACTCGTTCTGCATTTCTAAATTCATTGCATGAATCTTACATTTATCATTCTCGTCTTGCCGAATAAAAGACTTCAATATATCCGCATCTTGGACTTTCCTATTTGATCCTAACCCCGCTCTGTTACTTTGTGCTCCTATCATAAATTGCTTATGGAATTGAATTGAAGTCGTGACTCTAGCTCGGGGGCATCTTCATCTTTTGGGAGCGATGTCACTATGTCATCATGGGATTTCCCCAGGATATATCTCTTGGAAACTCTTAGGTGTTTATAAAGCTCCGATGGCCTTTTTAGACTCATCCCAAAACTATTGCTTCCCCTAAATAACGCCGATGAATCAGCTGTTAGAGCGAGCCCGAGCCACAACTTCAACATCTTTATGACGCCTGCATCTAACTTTGACAAAAGGGTTTTATTAAAATCATAGACGAGGAAAGGCCAATTCAAACGTGAAGTTAAGTAATTCTCGTAGATCCACGCTTTTTTGACGTTACTTATCAGTTGGCTATCTACCTTGTTAAGATCGTTCAAGAAGCTATCTACTATTCCTTCTAAAGATGGAGTACAGCCTATATTATCAATCTTACGACCGAGAAATTTAAATGGTGCATTTTCCGTAACCGTAGAAATGCATTGACCGCCTAACGACGATAGTCCCGGATCGTATGAGGTGTATCTTGTATTCCGCCTACCAAGACACAGACAATGACATTTACTGGGTTTTGTCCTCAATCCATCCGTCCATTCACAGAATTTATCCACTTCATCCAATAGTACTTGACAGTGTTTGGGGTTACGTGTCAGTATTGCGAGATCGTCAGCGAAGGCTAAAATGGATTCCGTCTATTTATTATTAAACTTAAACCGATAACCCCATTTTTTCTCGTTACAGATTAATTTGTCTACTAAGATGTTAATAACGATATTAAACGTAATTGGAGATAGACAACAACCTTGAAACAGTCCTACATTATAGCTCAAACTTTTTGAAGGGCCTTCTTTAGTTATTATAGAAAACCTTAATTTTGAGTAATACGACGCGATCATATCTCTAACTAGGGGTGGAAAGTTGTACCATCTAAGCGCGAATAGCATCAATTCGTGTTGTATCGACCCGAACGCGTTCTCCAAGTCTATCCAACAAACAGTGATTTGCCGCTCGCTTTTTCTAGCATCTTTCAAACTCTCCGAAAGCAAGGTGTTGTGTTCTAGGCATCCAGAAATCCCGGGTAAAAACCCTTTCTGGTGATTTGGCCTAAAATAGTTGTTGCTGAGCATGAATCGCGTCATTCTCGTTTGTAGAACCGAGAAAAAGATTTTCGATATAGTATTTGTTAAAGCTATCGGTCTAGTATCTTTCGGATCAGTAACTATATCTTTTTTGGGAATGAGGACAAAAATTGCTTTCCCGAAGCACTCCGGGATTTGCTTCCCTGACCAGATTTTACCGTATATATTTAGGAGGTGTTTACGAACCGATGGACATTTTTTAAAGACTATATATGGGATACCATCGGGTCCCGGTGCAGATTTAGACGACTTCCTCTTGATCTGACTACTTAGTTCCTCTAGCGTTGGTGGAATGCCGTAGAATTCGATTCGAGGAAATTCAGGTTTTTGATCGTTTGGATCCGGATTTGGATAAAATACGCGAAACAGTCCGAAAATATTAGTTTCATCTGTTTATATAGTACTTACAGTTGTATTATTCACCGAGACGTACGAATCTCAGCACACATCTCGTACATTTAATCTCCAGCTCCTTGTCCTGGTGTTGTTTGAGATGGTCCATGTAGAGGAGCATGTTGGTCGTCAGCTCACAGCCTTCAGCGTACACTGGAATCATCTGAAGACCGATATACGATGATTTTAATTTCTTCTACGTAGTATACTACTTGATGTGACCTCTTAAAATTAATATTGTAACTGAAATAAATGAATTCCTCCTTACGAAACGAATGTTAATTTAAGCCGTTTTTAAATTACTTTAAGAGTTTTGAATAAAGAGCAAATATGTTCTACAAAATTGTTATTAAGACATGAAAATTTGGTTTATTTTGTTAAAACTAGGCACTATTTAAGCTTATTGAGCGGCAAATGTCATAATATATCCCTACTAATATTATAAATGCGAAAGTAACTCTGTCTGTCTGTCTGTCTGTCTGTCTGCTACGCTTTCACGCCTAAACCACTGAACTGATTTTAATGAAATTCGGTACAGAGATAGAGTTGACCTTGAGAAAGAACATAGGATAGTTTTTATCCCAGACTTTTGAAAGGTTCTCTTGGAAACGCGATATAACCGAACTCCACGCGGCGAAGCTGCGGGCGGAAAGCTAGTTATAATATAATCGCAAAACAGTATGAGTAATCACTAGTAGATACTCACAGGCTCTACTTCATCAGCAGGTTTTGGTTCTTCCCTGATGGTGTTGGCTCGTGCTAGTTCCTCAGTTAAGTACGCGCTTGTGTGTTGTGTCACGAGGAGATGAGATAGAATGTCCGTGCCTGGAGTAATATTATATTAGAACAACAAAGTTTTTCATAAAGAATTGCAAATATTTACGAACTGTATACAATTTTTGCGTCGTGACAATAAAATCTGTTAATACTACATCATACTTGTTTAATTTAACGATGCCGTCTGGGGATTAAAATCTTAATATTTTATTGGTTACTATAGTCATTGGTTAATTGTATATTTTATATTGATCTATATATGCTGCTGGTCTAACAGTTACATAGTTAGTTATAAAATTTATAAAAGAAAATGAAAATATATTGATTGACATCCTATAACCAGTGTAAACTGACTTATGTCTGTAGAGTATTCGCAGACGCAGTATAGCGTGGGAGCGGGTCTAGGAGCGGCCTCCAGTGAAAGTGAGCCGGCGCAATATCCACTGTGTCTCAACATCGCTCGGTAACATGATGTAGCATATGGACACTTGCTGCGCGACGTGCGACCGCTGTATATTGAGAATATTAAAATTATACTTTAGTATGTATTAAACATTTGGTATATTATTTATCTAATCTTTCTTCATTAGAAAATATAGAAATATTAAAAAGATGATATCACAATATAATAAGAGCTACTAAAATAACATTTTTTTGTAAAAGTTAATGAGTGTTTTCAACACGATAAAGGAAAAACTTTACTGACATTCAATAAATCTGATTGTATTCAATGTTTGCAGCGTCGTTTTATCAAGTGGTTATACTAACAGGAAGTGTTTGTCACTGTCAAGCGGCGTGTCACACTCGCGACACAGAAGACCCTCTTGTATGACCAACGTGACACCTTCATACGTGTCACTGATGGCGTGACACGCGACGTCCTTGATGGGAGGGCTGGCTTTGTTCTGAAAAAAAAAATATTATTATATAATTGCAGTTTGTTAATTGTAGATAAATAAGTAGCAGAATATACAAGTAGCAGTAGAGTTATATGACGTACATACCTTGGGCAGGTTAATCAAGTGCTCAGTAGAACACAGAGGTAGAACCTCCTCGAACGGGTTGTGGTCTCGAATCTGATGCTCTTTCAGTTGACCTGCAAAATATTATACGTATTAATGTGTGTATTGAACTCATTTTATTGTAAATGAAACTAATATTTTTCGGATATACTACGCGACTTGATTTCTGATAAAAACTACATACTCCCGACGTTTCGGCTACTTTTCAGCAACCGTGATCACGGACAGACGAGATGTGAGCGTTTATTTTTATTGTACAAGTGATAATACATATATTGCATAAATTTATAAAATCTGAATGGAAGAAATTCAAAGATTTAATGGTCATTTATTTTTAAATTGTTACCTACAGATAGAATCCAAAACGATCGGTAGAACTATTTGTCTTTCTATTAAATAAAATAATATATTAACCCATATCAAAAAGACACTATAAAGATATAATAAATCAATCTGGTCTCACTCGTATGTCGCATAGTGTCTTCTAGTAGAAGTAGCCACTGCTCGACATTTGAAGTAGGGTAAAATTTGTACTTCAACTCCACAATTACACCTTCACTTGAATGCATTTGAGTTATCTTTAGATCCGGTTCAAATGTTACCTGACGGTATTATATACAAAAATTAAGAAACATTATATTAAAACTAATTATTTCTGCTCACAAACATACTATACATGAATGTTATAATTATTATAACTAAATTATTTATTACCAGAAGTAGAAATATTTGCATTACTATAAAAGAAATTTGATGCACAAAGGATATCATTCTCTTAAAAAGTGATGAATGTGGTGTAGGTATAATAAAAAGAAAGAAAGGAAAAAATTAAAATTATATCTATAAGCATACAAACAAAATTCTATTACAAAAATTATAACAGTTAATTAAGATATTATACATATATAGATATAAACATAAATGTACACATAAATATGTACTTACTATATGTATAATAAATAAACAAATACATTACACATCAGAAGACAGATATGATTAAGTACCTTAGCAATATTCTCGAAGCATTTTCTAAGATGGGGTTGCACTGCTCTTGGGTTGCGAGATTGGGATAATATTTCTAGCAATTCATCATCACTAAGGAAGAAGAATCTCGGGAACCGTACTCGTTTAAGTTCCATATATTCATTCAGCCCTCGTGATACAACAGCCAGTAGAAGACGAGCTTCAAGCAGGCTGTCTAGAAGACGGCTATCCGGACATATAATCATTATCTATAAACAAAATAAATATATTATCATTAGTTATAAAACTAAGGCTACATTTACACATGCTTTAAATAAGCATGCTTTTTTTTAAGCAACACTTGAACACACATGCTAGTAAACAGCACGTGCTTAATTAAAGCATGTTTTATGCTTGAAATAAGCATGTGTAACAGTTGCCTTATATTTAAAACATTTCACATGTTAGAATATTAACAAGCATTTAAAAAATACTATTAATATTTAAACTGTGCTACACGTGACTAAATATCGTGTGTATAAAGTTTAAAACTCGTTTGAATGTTTGCCAAATACAGTTAGGAAAATAAACCTTTGGACATGCTGCTGCCGATGACATAATTCGTCTCCATGCCGTGCCGTACTTTTTAGCTTCAAGCGGTAATTGTCGTGATATATCTTCAGACGTAAATATTGGTTCTCAATACATCCACTCCCTTTATATAATAATATAGATTATGGTACACAATGTATGCAATATAATAATATATATAAAGAAATACTTTAAAACATACTTTTGGCGTTCAATTCATTTGTCAACACCTTTTTTGTAAGCCGAAGCTTATCATCCCATTCCTGTATTCGTAGCTCAAACGCTGCTTTGAAAGGACTGAATCCTAATTGTTGTGTAGTTAAGGTTTTCATCCAATAATTGGAGAGTTTCATCAGCAATCTTCATTATAAACGTGCCTGTAAATTAGATTATAGACGCTTGATAAATATTTAAATAAGCCATTACTTTATTAATTCTCAACTGCAGTGCTACACAGTTCTGCTTAGAAATAATTTAGAACAATTTATTTAAATACCTATCTTAGAAATTAGTCCAACACAAATTAATGACAAGCAATAATGACACGAGGCTATATACAGGGTGACTGGTGAATTACTATCGATAATTGAGGACGTGATATTTGACGATCATATATGACAAAATAAAAATTAATATAACATAAATATTAATAAACTTCTAAGTAAAGTTAACCAAAAGTTATGTAATTAATTACGCATCGTGTGAACACCCTACAGATTAGGTATACACACAAACACACACATAGGCGTGCCGCGGCGTAGTGTTGTATCACGCGTCCAAACTTGGAACGTGTCCACGCTTTATTTATTTATACGGAAATTTGGTCAAAAATTAAGTACCAATTTTTTTTACATAATTCGAATGAGAATCATGTACCGAGTATTCTCCTTAAATATTGATAGTAATTCATCAGACACCCTGTATATTTCTAATGTTATACCAGTGTTTTTATATGGAGACACTTCCATCGTCTTGGCCGCCCAGTCGTTAAGCATTTTATCCCTGTTCTATCACGTAGTCCTTGCTGGCTAGTTCACCAATTTCAGCTATCAATTCAGCATGTTGAGCCACTCCTTGCTTCAGACACATTGTAAACGTCTGTTTCTCGTTCATTGTTACAGAAATACCTATATTTCAATATTCATATTATTTAAACAATAATCATCTTCGTTCAAAATTTTATTTGACTTCAACCAGTCATTTTATATATTTCATATTTTCATGAAAAATATACCATATTAGTTAGAATATCATAAAAAAAAGTCAATCATAGGTTCTGGTGCTTCTAGCTAGTATGTAAAATATATCATTTAAACCAATAAAATGGTGTTACTTTTAATAACTATAGCTTTATTTCAACAGAATTAGTGAATTTTTTTACCGAAGATAATTTCTATTGCTTTAAAAAAAAGCTAGGAGACGAAACGTTACAAAATTACTTATATATGAATTTTACATACCAGCTTTTTCCTTGAACTCATTCCAGCGTCGTTCTTTCATTCCAGGATTCCTAACAGCCTGAATGTCTGGTATCAGCGGTTTAAACTCTTCCATATCATCCTGTTAACAAAGGTATAATAATACTGTAGTAATATTGTTAATAAAGTCACTAAACACATTGAA